CTGAGGATTATAATAGGAGATCTGAATTATGTTTAAAACTGATGCATTCTGAAAATTTGAGGTTCATTTTGAATAGTTCGAAATGTCTCAATATACTTGTATATTTTTGCTTGAGGCATCAGAAACCTCATAGTAGTTGAATCACCAGTTTAAAAAGGAAATTACTCCCATGTAGTATCTTTTTTTTTTGGAAGGGGAAGGGTGGAGAGTCATAACTTTCACCTTATACTTTTTTAAAACAATATGAACAAAAGCTTTTATGCTTCATGGCAACTTCAAAGTAATTCATTTTTAGTGCCTAAGACCAAATGATTTTTTTAATAAGAAATAACATAGATTTATTGTGTTCTTCAAACTAATGCAAGAGAATGTATGAGAAAGATGTTTTTGATTATTTAATATTAAATCAAACTAAAAAGCATTATTCAAAAATTACAAAGTACAATTGTAGAAACAAACTTATGAAATTCGATGAAAAAATATTCAAAAATTTTTTTTGTCTTCCTCCTATTCAAGCCCATTATTTATGGTGAAGAGCGATTCTAGTAGATTTTTCTTTAAATGGTTTATGTTCTCCACAATGTATTAGGTAATACATAGAAAAGAGCTTTAGCTGTGGTGGTACTGCTGAGTATATGTTGTGAAATGGAATCTGTATCTCTTGCTGATATCATGTTAGTTCAGTGCCGAACCTACCTCAGAATAAATGGTACTTTGGCTGTAGCATGTGCATTTGGGTCATTATGAGAAAAATAGTCTATCCTATGACTTGGTAATTTAAAATTGTATAGCTATAATTTTCACAAAACTGAAACAAATATTGGAAATGAAGAAATTTCTATAAGATGCTGTTTAGATTGTGTGATACAAGCTTGGAAGAAGAGCTTCCTTATTGTCATTAGATTAAATAAGACATGCACCAGATGAGATAAGTGGCATTATTACTTCTTAGCAGGAAAACTGGTGTTACTGCTCACTATTGCCGAAGTCAAACTTAAGCAGTTTAAAAGTTATGGTAATTCATGTATTTGACAGTGATTTTAACCGGTCTGAACATTATAGGTTTTGCCCTGAAACCTTTAAGGTTAGCAACCTCAAAGATGCTATGAAGAAATGGGATTTTTTATTACAATTCCAAAGTAACCCTCTTATTTTGTACCTCGATTCCTTTTCTTCTAATATATACATCCAGCCTGAAATCAGAGCCATTGGAAGGTGGTAGAAATTTCATGTGTAATGAATTGGAAAGCCATCCCTTTATGCAGAATTTTACATCAATAATCTTGTTAACACGTACTGTACTTTAAGGACATACAGCAAATGCACAATATGAGGTACTTGCATATTAGCTCAGTCGCCTTAGAAAATGTCGCTGAATTTTCAGAATGTGTTAAGCTCTGGCAAGGATGGACCTAACAATTCATCACAACTTTTGTATGCATTCTTTTTGTTTGTTTTCCAAGTTCCTGTGGTTTTTATAAGCAAATGGCAATATTTTTTGTCTTAATCTCAGTTTTAAAATTTACTTATCAGATTTGCCTGCAGTGGAGGAAATGACAGTAGAATTTCTCTGGGAATATGTTTTTTGCCATAAAATCACTAAAGGGATACTATTACTTTAAATCTGTTCTTGAAAGCTATCGCAACAAAATTTCCTTCATAACAAAAGAAACAAAAATCCATTAATAAGCAGGTTTATTCATTGATTTTTCAGAACAGATTGCTAATTAAATTATAAAATGTGTACGCCGTAATATTTTGCAATTATAAATTAATGCTATTTTTCTTCTGTTTAAAAAAACTCCAAATAACACCAAGGCAGCTGTGTTAATATTGTAAATACCTAATAGCACTTTGTTTTTGGAACTTAATCTATGGTGTGTGTTTTAAAAATTGCAGCAGAATCCTTTCATCATTTTGCAAGACAATGTTAAAGTTTATATAACACAAATTATGGTTGATATGTGTGTGTGTACTGGACGGTGCTGACATATGCTGTACCATCCACCATACTTCTCTGACCGATGCTTCAGTGACTGCGATCCATAAAGTGAGGGACGTTTGTTTAGGAACCATTTCAAATGGCTATAGAGAACTCCATCAACAAAAAAAGCTATTTCTGTATTTATAATGTGTTTACTGCAACTTCATATACATAATTTTGTATACAGCCATATTACACTATGCTGCAACTTCTGCATTGCTATCAATAGGCTACACAAATACTAGTGACACTGAAGCATAGTAAATGTTTCGCAGACTTATCTCTTTTATGTCAAGTGTTAATAAATAATATCTGGCATTAAAGTTAAATCCTTATACATTGATGTTATACATTTTGTGATTTATGAGAATTGACACTATATATTAATTCTTGTGAAGTGAAGTAAAAACTGAGAAAGAGGGTGCAAGTTTATTCCTGAGAGAGAAAATTTGAATATTGATGTAATTTACAAAAACAAATCTGCTTATTTGTCTGATTAAACTGCTTGAAAATATACAAGCAAATGGTTAATACAGTACAAACTCCGAAATCCAGATGCCCAATATCCGGAATGATCTAAAATCCAGACCTCAATCACCACCAACTTTTTAAAATTTTACTTATTTTTTGGTAGGATTTACGCATGTACATTGGATTCCCCCCTTCCATATAATAAAACATGTGGAAAGACCTGGTTCTCAATTTCACTTCAGCACTAAATAAAATTCAAGAAACAATCATTTTAGGATAAATTTGTATAATCAATAATTTGGTTCTGTTGCTACGTGTTTCCTTGGCATACATGTCAAACCGAAACAGTACATAGATACGTTGTTGATTTTAGACCTACTAATATTTTGACGCCAACCTTGGTGAATCATTATTTATTATATTTTGCTTTCATCACCACATGTTTATCAACACTTGACAACTTGAGTAATGACTCATGTAGCGATGCCTAAACAAAATTTTTTATGTTAGTAATTGAATAAATAAAGAGTGTGGTAACTTTTTATGTTGACATTAAGCTTGGCAATGTTTACAAATTTAAGTTAAATGCGTTAAGAAATGTTGATGAAAAAACCTTTAACAAAAATTTTTTCCCATAGGCTAAAAATAGATTTTGTTAAAGACACTCATAGGCCAAAAGATTACATTTAGTGCCATTTGAATTAAGAATAACTGTTTTGTTATTCACGTAAACCCAGAACCAATGTCATGGCTCGTATAGCCGCACTGGGAATCAGAATTTAGGGAAGACAAAGGGAGGTGCTTAGTAGCAGAATTTAGGACCCACAGAGACTGCATCAGGCGATAAGATATCTAGCACCAGCTCTCAATAAGCCTTAAGTGTATATGTGGGAATTTATTTATTCAGGACTCAGATAAGTCTTAAGCATGTGCAAGAAATAGACATAAGTATAATAAATAACTAGACTAATACCATTCAGGCTTAATTATCTCAGTGCGCAATAGAAGCAAGATAAAATTTAGCAGAACAACTTGTGGTTAGTCACCAATCTCATGATACATAGCCAAATATGTGTAGTGAACAATAGCTAAATTTTATGTTGATAGCCGCGGATTTTAAAGGTTATCAGATATCGCAAACAAAGTGAAATTTTTCAAGTAACGGATTCTGTAAAGAAATGTAGAGAAGCGGTAATAAACGAAGATGATATAAAAGAAGTTTTTCATTGGATGACAATGCTTCTCAGTCATAATCAGTTAATGGATGGCGAAATCTCTAGTATGCTTCTAGATCCAGAAAATACCGCCACCGATAGTGAAGAAAGTGACGGAGAATTTACTGAAAATGAAAAAATTCTGATTGACATGTTAGTCGAAATTCTTGACACAGCAATTACAGGACTTCAGCAATGTAACTGAACAAAAAATTATGTCTGTCTGCAGAATTAAAGAGAAAGTAATAGCACAAAAAATAAGCAAATTACATTGAAAGAAACGTTTAGTAAAGTAAACAAATAAATGTTAAACTTTTTTGTAAATTATGATACCCTTTAGATCATAACTGCTTCATTATTTCTTAAATCATTATTTCATATTTTTATAATTTCTACATGCCATCTTACTAGATTTAAACTGATGACCTAATATATGGAAAAATCCCAAATCCGGAATCGCAGAAGTCCCAAGGAGTCCGGATCTCTGACTTTGTACTGTAGTATATTTCTGTTAATTTTAATGTGGGTTATTCCTTTTTCCTGTATTTCTAACTGCGCTTTAGTTAACCTTAATTTTGAGTTGATTATGGGCATTTTCCCCAGTACTCACTTGATGGGAAGTTACCTGTTTTTGTAAACTTGTAATTAAAAACCCATTTTATACTTTTGGGCACTTGCTTCCTTCATTAAATTGACTGTTCTTCATTGTTTTAATACAGGCTTATTGTCCCTATTGAAATGACAGACTTAAATTGCTGCTGAATTTTTCAGTGACAGTTAAGAAAGAACTGCCCAGCAGAATAATACATCTTTTATGGCAAATTACTTCTTCTGCTTTACAGTAGTTTTTTAATTAAGTGAAATACAATAGTTTTTTTTACTTCATTTAACAGTAGGTATCTTGAAATGTGGAATTTTTTATTGCATTTAGGAATTAGATTTTAAGAAGCGAGTCACTGCCAAATATCTTTATCTTATAAAGTTGTCAATAGTTCAATACTAGTTTAGGAAAGTAGAGACTAATTGAGTTGTTCCTGCTGTCTATAGCCTAGAGATATATTGGCATGTTTTTCTGGTTGATAAATGAATAATGGGCAAGTTTCACTCGGAATTTAGGCAGGAGAAATAGGAGGCTAGGTAGTTATTTTGTGATTTTTGAAATAAGTGGTTGTGCATTGTGAGGCCTGTGCTTAGCATTTTGTTATGCATAAGTGTAAAAAAGAAATCTTTATTTTATGCCCAGTCACAATTTTTTAATGATACAATTAAGTATAGGATTAGTTATTCTTTGAGTTATTTTATATTGATTATTTATAATTTTTCCCCCACAGATGGCACTTCCGTGTTGTAGAGCTGGTTTTAAAAGGAACAGCTCCAGCAGATTACAATCGTGGTGCTTCAGAAAATAAAGCCAGGGCTAGTTCTGAAAGCAATGCACTGATACCCACAAACAAATATTACAATTTAGATAATGTAGATACAGTCAAAATCTCCTTACATAATGGCATAGCTGGAAAGATAGACCAATCAACATTAGCATTTTCTTGGATATACAAGGTTGTGTTTTAATGTTTATATTCTAGTAGTTTGTAAGCAAAATTTATATTGTTGCATGAACTACATAAAATGTTTTTTTTTAGTATTCATAAATTTTAATAATTCTGATGAATAATCAAATTTGATATGGCTATTATTAAAAAGATGAATAAAACTTTTGGAGTAGTTGTTTTGTAAAATGTATCTTTAACTTTTTTACATGAAAAATTGCTAAAATTTTAAAGACTTTCAATGGTGAATGTGATTTAACAAATATTCTATAAACTTTGAATTGCATAAAGCTGCTATTCGCTTCTGCTTTGAAATTGAATTTGTCAGTGTTTCCTTTCTTTGACATTCTAGTACCATACTTAGTTTAATTTCATTACTGCTGCTTACCATATACATTTTTCTGTTTGCTTACTTCTGCAGTTTGCTCTCTGTGCTTAACACAGTCTTCTTTTAATGAAGAACTGAGTTTATTTGAAAGACTTTCCATTGTAAGTAATGTAACTCATGTTACAAATCATAATAGTCGTTGTATTTTCTCCTATTTGTTACAGTGGTGTAAAATTATAATTTAAAAATGTCCATATTTCAGTATTTTCCCATAAAATCCAGTAAAGATGTAGTATGCTGTTTACATGGTATTACAGAGTTATAGGGCAAATTAATAGACATGAAATAGAAAAAGTATAGTTTAACCTTTATCCTGGATTTTAACTGTTATAATATTTGACCAGTGTGAACTGATATTACTGGCATCATACTCTTTCTGTTTAATAAATAAGACAGTTTTGAAGTCTTAGTCTTGCAGGATTTATAGGCATTGGGCATTCTGAATGTCTAGAATATATAAAGAGATATTTTAACTCAAGGTCACTCATCATTTTCAAGTTACCTACTGGTAAGGATTGATAACTATTGTTCATTACTTCAAATCCTGTGGCTAGGGATTCTAAAGCTTCCGAATTTTGCCTATATAACCTCTGTCCGAGTACAGAAGTTCTAAATATGCAGATTGCTTGCTTCTATTTATTGCAATTTCTCCTCAGGCTAATAAGCCACAGCCATGAAAACTATGTATATTCTTTCCAGGTAAAAGTACACTGAGATTCATTGTCTACTGTGAACTTTAACTCTTTATTTATGAGAATTGGTATCTGATCATCTGGGCTCTTTGGTTAATTCCGAAGATACCATCTTAAAAATTCCTATCTGAAAAGGAAGAATGGGCACAACGTATTGGTCGTTTACTGTACAGTTACTTTCCTGCAGACCTTGTGAGTGACAACTCTACTTATCCTTGTGCTGGTAGGTGTTGTGAAGTCAGATATAATTTGCCTTCCGACTGCATGAAGATTTTCTCTTACCAATGGAGATAATGGTCTTCATTGTCTTAGCTTTCTAAATGACTAAAGAGGGCATTGTCATTGTCTCTCTCCAATATAGACTGATTTACAGATGTATTAATTCTTGAATGACCTGTATTTTCGTGATAACTAACATTTTCTTTAATATGATACTACTTTTCCATTCTGAAAATAATGTTTTGTGGAGTAATTATGTCTTTAAGGACGTCATTTCTAGGACTCGTGAAAAACTATATTGAAAATTTCTTGAGCTCCATTGAAAAATTATTACATGGAACTGACCGCCTGTGATTTCAAGTTTTTTAAGATTGATGTTGCAGAGAAATGTGTCATGAATGGGATGAAATTTTGTAGAGTGTGTAAAAATGTCAGTATATATGAAGGTAGTGTAGTTGGAGATTCTGGTGCGATTGTTGAAATCTATGAAACCAAAGTTTTCAGAAAGCTAAAGTATGACTATAGTAAAAGAGTGAATGAAACATTTCTGTATTGAGACACTGAAAGGGGACTGTCTGCTTTTTTTTTTTTTTTTTTTTCTAAGTTTCTTAAGGAAAACTCATCTTTTAAGTTATTTAAAGAAACATAAAGCAGTATTCTATAATTATCTCATATGGTTGGAAGGCATGTGACTAATATTTTGAAGGTTTTATACACCTTTTAGTCAACAGGGTATGTCGTTTAAGGACTCTGTTTTTATGACACACAAACTGATTAAAGGTTTCGTTAGCTTCATAAAATTATCTTTGCAAAAAATTTAACACCTGTGATTTAATTTGCTGTGAGATCGATGTCTTGAAGAAAAATGTCGTAGATGGATGAGGTTCTACAGAAAGGGGGGACAGTTCTATATCTCCTGATCTACTGGGCCAGTTGATGAAATTCAGATTAAGTTTTTCATGTCTCGAAAGCGCGACTTAGGATATATATTAGATTCATGTATAGCATTGTTCTAATATATATATATATTTTGACAGAAAAGCAGACTTTTTCCGAAATGACATGCCGATTTTCTTCCAGATTTCTAGTCTAAGACTCAAATTATGCCTAAATATTAAATTTTGTAGAATTTAGTGCAAAATTTACGGAGAAATTTAAAAATTTATCTTAGTGCATATTGTTCAGTTTGCACCAAGAATAATTTACTTGACGAACGTATCATTATATGGTAATCTATTTTTCTTTCCCATTTTACATTGTGCATGAGTAGATTGTTCCTACTTTCAACTAATTTTAACTAAGTGCCTAAGCCACATTTGATGTTGTTATTGCTTTCAACAAATATTCCAAATTTCAAAACGCGCCAGTATATAAATTCACGTATATCTTCGGAAAGTTTGAATAAAAAAACTCTTAATTTTTTGAAGCTATGCTTAGATCTACTTGAAGATGATAGTAAAAATTTTATAGATTATAATTCAAAAATTTTTTCGAAAAGTTTATAAAAATATTTAAAAATGCAAATTTTAAAAATAAATCATAAGAAATGTGTGAATTATATTTGCTTTGAGCCTAAATTTACAATCCTGGAAGAAAGAATGAAGTAAGTTTAATAAAAAAAAAAGATAGTATATGTTTTTTAAAATAAAAGAATTACTGCAGTTGCATGCTGTGTGATGTGCATTAAATAATGTTACGTTAGGTTGTTTCAATAGCGTAAAGCCATAAAAACTATCTGTGTAAGAGGAGGGATGCCTTTGTGGAGAACTTTCTAATTGAAACTGCCTCCTATTCACATTACTCATGGGAAAAAACAACCATCCAGCCAGCCCGTTTGCCTGTGATCAAACCCAAGGCAGGTACCAGTATTTAACAGTCTTAACCAGTCTGTCACTGGTGAGGCTCATTAAATAATGCGATGTGCATTTGTAATAACACAGTGTTTATGTCAGTCGATGAGTGTTAGTTGGCAGAAATGTCTGTGGAAAGTTTAAATGCTGGTATGTAGGTAGGGATAATAGTGCATGTATATGAAGTCAGATTTATGATGGTGATAAGCCAAAAGTGTCAATGGCTTATTGTTGTAAAGGGGAGTGATAGATGGAGCATCAGTAGTCTATATTGTGTGTTTCCACCAGGAGCAGTTCTGCTAATGGTCAAGTAATCCAGACAATGATTATTGATGATAACTGCTGACTTTTGATTTCTGATGATAATTGATGACATGTGAAGATTTATGCAAGCTAAACATGTTCCTATAGGAGAATAGTATTGGGACTGTACTCGTATAGGAATTCATAGCTTTTAGAAAACAGATAATAGTATTGGAACTGTACTTGTATAGGAATTCATAGCCTTTAGAAAACAGATCAGCTGCATTCCATGTAACAGTTGTTAATGAGCTTTGATATTGCTCACTGACATTGTCATTGATTTCATTAATTATCTCAAAGAAAACATGCATTTTATTTAATGCTTTATTATAATATTTGAATTTAAACATACATTTATTAAATATACATTGCAGAGTCCAAGTTATAGGCTAATTGGGACTTGAGCAATTCTGGATTATAGATTAGTTAAAATGTAGTAAGATGACATGTAAACGTGCTAGCATTGGAACTATTTCAGGTGATGAAAGGAAAATGTTAACCTCCTTTCTACAGGGTCAGACTATTGCAGCTGCAACCAGGTGTTAGGATTTAGGCATGACAAAATTTTTGGAATTTAGAAAAGCAGCAAAAATTAGGTGTTGCAAAATTTTTGGAATTTAGGTCCTGCATAGATTGCACCCGGAGGTAAAATATGTAACACTGGCCCTGTCTCCCGCACAATCACTGAAAGGCTTGAAAGCATTATCCTGTCTAACATCTATCAATGCATTTTTATTAACTATAGCATAACTTCCTGAAACTTCCTGGTATTTAAAAGTGACATGCAGAAATCTCGGTCAGTCCAGACACACCTGCCTTTTTTTATTATTCTACTCTGCATTCCTTATATATTATTCCATTCATATAAGGAGGAACTTTTTATTATTTTATTTATATATTTGGCTGGTGCTCTAAAAGTCAATGTTAAATTATTCCAGAAATTCATGTTTCAGACTTTATAACCTTCCATGTTTCAGACTTTATACCGTACTCATGGCAAGCATATTTTTGTAAAAAATTTCATTTATTTCATTTATGTAATTCAAATAATTCTGGTATTTATACATGATTGTTGGTTTTAATTTTATGTCTAGCATTTAATGATTTCTTAATGTTATTTTTCAGTTTGGGTTTGTGCAGCAGTAATTATTTCAATTTGAGTTTGTGCAGCAGTCATCAATTCTCAATAAGCCAGTTTAATTTCTTTAAAGAAAAATTGAAGTTTTATTTTTCCTTTGCATTTTGTAAAAATGCTTAATATTTGGGACTGCATAAAGTGGAATATTTTCAAAGTTACAGGATCCAGGCATTGAGAAAAAGCCACGTATATGATTTTGAAAATGTATAAACAGTGACTATATATACGAGGGCTATCCAGAAAGTAGATTACGTTTTGGAATAAAAAAATAAACAAAGTATAGGAAACAAATTTTATTATATACAGATGAAAGCCACACTCAAATACTACTTTTCTACATAGTCACCATACAAATTAAGGCATTTATCGTAGCGATGTACGAGCTTGGAAATTCCTTCGTCGAAAAATTCGGCCGCCTGCGCCTTCAACCACTTCGTTACCTCTTCTTGCCTTCCATCTTGCACAAAACTTGTGGTAACCAAGCTTTTCGCTGATGATTTCGTGCAACAAACTTCGCGAAATTTGTGAAAAACTCAAAGAAAGTTCCGTTATTGTGAAATTTCGATTTTCACGGACTTTAGCATCGACTTTTTCGAGAAGTTCGGCGGTCACTATGCTGGGTCTCCCACTTCGATCTTCGTCGTGAACATTGGTTCGGCCATTTTTAAATCTTATGACCCACTGACGCACTCCACCTTCGGTGATAATGTTGTCCCCATACACTTCACGAAGCTGCCGATAGATTTCTATCGGTTTACAGTTTTTTGCAGTCAGAAACCTTATTACTGAGCGCACCTCGCAGCTCGCGGGATTTTCAATTAACGCAGACATTTCAAACCGTCACAGTATCTGAACGGAGCACAGCACGAACCTCTCACTAGCACGGCTAGATGCAGACTGAGCTGCGCAACGCTCTGACCCCAAGATGGCCGCGCTAGCCCCGCCCCTAGCGGACACAGACGGAAACGTAATCTACTTCCTGGATGGCCCTCGTATATATCAGTAATTTGTATCTCTTTATTATCTAACCAAGTTCTTCTGTTCATTTAAAACTTCTTCCAGAAAGATTTTCATCAATTTTCATGTTCGACTGGATTTCGTAACGAACTAATTTGCCTTTTGTTATTTTTTCAAAATCTTATATAACTTTTAATGTAGACCTTCAATATTCAAGTTGGTAACAAATAAGATTACAGTTTTTAGAGCAGACAATTTTCTCGTTGTTTTGGCTTTTCTAACATGAATTCGTTTGCTTACCTTTTTATACCCTAAACTATATAGAATTTTCACATATCTGTAATTCAGCATTTCCTGGGCTTTCCGAATAGTCGAGCTTTTACAATAATAACTTAAGTGAGAGACACAATCTATTAAAAAGAAATCGTAGAACGGTGTGTCTGATTCCAGAAATTCCATTTAGGTGAAGATGAATTCCTGATTTTAATTTTAAAAATGGCTGGCTGCACCAGCTCCATATAGAGCCCCTAATAAAATCAAAGTGAAGATCTTATAATTGTGGTCGAAATCACGCTTGTACATTTTTAGCATTAAATTGTGCTGCTTGGTGGCAGTATCCTATATATGATTTACAATGGCTTTGCAAGTCTTCGTTTGCTTACCTTTTTGGGGGGGGGTTTCGAAAAATTTTAAAATGTTCCGGTTACTTAAACTTTCCAGTTAGTTAAATGCTGTATAATTCTGTATAATTACACTTTTACTGTACTTTCGATAAATATATAGGAAAAATATATATTGTCATAAAGCTGTAAAAATCTTGTAGTAGGTGGAAAATGAGGAAATGCACACACACAAAAAAAAGGCTGTTTAAAATTTAAAATGAATCTTAGTGGGAAAAGTCCATTTTAAATCATTGTGGTGAATTCATGTCTGGTTATTGTAAACCAAAATGTCTATACTTGGAAGAGATATATAGTTAAAATTGAGTTTTCCTTTTTGGAGGTGGGGCTTTTTGTCATAATTTTTTACTTTTTCCCTTGAGTTAGATATATACGTATGTTATTTTTTCAACCTCTGATGGGCTTTAAAAGAAAAGAGGGAATATACAAAAAAGATTTTAATACCAAAAGTAATGCACAATAGATGTTATTTATCTGAATAACCACCTTGACGATTGAGGTATTTGTCATATCTGTGAACAAGCTCTGCTTTACCCTCTTCGTAAAATGTTCCCGCCAATGATTGGAAGTGAGTTGTGATGGTTTCTTTGAGCTCCACATCATTTTGGAAGCACTGCCCCCTCAAGCCACTGCTTTAGTTCAGGGAAAAGATGAAAATCACTCTGCGCTAGGTCGGTATTATATGGTAGGTGTTCGAAAATTTCCCATTGAAGTTGCTAAAGGAGCCGTTGGGTTATATGAGCGCTTTGAGGACGGACATTGTCGTGGATCAGAACAATTCCAGAAGTGAGCATGCCTCTTCGTTTGTTTTGAATAGCTTTCTGTAAGCATCACAAAGTTTCACTATATAAATCTGCATTAATTGTTGTTCCAGGCTGCATAAACACCACAAGCAACACACCTTTTTCATATTAAAACGTTGCCATAACCTTATGGTTGCTGAAGGTTTGTTTGAATTTTGTGGGTCTCTTTGGTGAATTTGTGTGCATCCATTGTGATTGTCATTTCGTTTCGGGCATGTCATACTGAATCCATGTCTCATCACTTGTCACAATGGATTTCAAAGAATCTTCTTAATCAGTATTGTAATGGTTGAGAAACTCCAATGCTGCAGCCATTCCACGAGTTCTCTGGTCGTCAGTCAACATCTGTGTAACCCAGCGAGCTCAAACTTTTCTGTAGCGCAACTATTCAGTCACGATAGCGTACAAAGAAGATCCTAAAACTTCTGGAAATTTCACCAGTAATTCACTTATGGTGAACCTTCGATTTTCCTTAACCGCTAGGTCAACTCATTGAACAATGTCATCTGTAGCAACAGACTTGTGTCCTTGACCCCCTTCATCATGCACATCAGTTCGGCTATCATTAAACTTTTGACACCATTCAGGAACAACGCCATCACTCATAAAGTTGTCTCCATACACTTGACTCATTCGTCTATGAATTTCCGCTGCACTGTTCCCTTCTGCCTGCAAGAAACGAATAACAGCTTGCAATTTGCACTTGGTGAGAGAATCAGTAGTGACAGCCATGTTTACGTGACTGCAACTCAACAGGAAATGGTGTGTTGAATTCGCCAGTGACAGTGTGTGGAGGAAGAGATGCACAGTTGCCTACAACGCACACTAACCACCTGCCGCATGCCTGGCCATCATACTGTGCGATCGGAGGTTGAAAAAAAAACAATCCTCATAGTTCAATGTTTCTTTCATAAAATCCTTCACAGACATTTATTCTAGTCATTTATCTTTTTCATGCTTTACTGTTAATAATAATTAGCGAATTATGTGGTCTATTTTTCTGCTTGTGTGGAAAATTTTATTTATGCATTGCCTAAGTATACATTGCATTATATTTGCAAAATAATTTAGCATTAATTCAGTGTATTTTTGTAAAATTCAAAATAGAAGCTATAGAAATATTTTAAAATGATTTACTTAAATGATTTGTTTATGCTTCAGACACATTGTCCTATCATTGATGCATGGTATGTTAAAGAGGAAGTTGTTCATCTTCTTGATCCATTTGATAATGAATCTTCATTTTTCTCTGTTGATACAGATGGTGGAAGGTATTCTGCACTTCTCTTTTTAGGTGAGTATTTAATGCGTGAAGCAAAGAATACATATTTTTAGAAAAATCTTATTTTTATTATGTTATTTACTTTAGGAAATAGCAAAAAGTGTAGTATGCTTATTAAAACAGATGGTACTGTTTTTTAACTATACAACCTCTATTTACTTTATCTGCAAATTACACACACTTTATATATAGTGTACGTTCCGTTGTTTAAAAATAGTGGACTGTAAATTGACTTGATATTACTTCAGTATAGAACCCAAAAAACCTCAGACTCATAACGTTGACCGAAACTTCTTTATTGACTTTCAAAGTAAGTTAGTTGAGGAATGGCGAAGACCACACAAACTCCGACTTCAGTGGCGGCTTACCAACACAAACTCAGAAGAACCTCTGCCTAGTTGAAACTCCAGTAATTCACAGCAACCTCAAAGCTCTAAACGCGAGCTTTAAAAACCTAACAAATTTGCGTCTGCACCGCTCCTCGGTACAAAGAAAGAAATACAATTTGCATAACATCGAACATACCCCCAGCCTTGAAGTCCCAAGGGGGTTCAAACAATAAATTTAAACTGTTGAACTGCATAAACCTGAAAAATAAAAATTAAAGTCTCTAAATCAAGAATTAAATGGCAAAGCGCATAGCTTTGCTATAGGTCGTTTTATTTCACCATTAGACGTGCGTAAACTCACCGTTCGAACTTTCTCATCCAGACCATGATACACTTTAATAATTCTACCTAATTTCCAACGTAGCAGAGGTAGATTTTCGTTCTTAATAAGAACCATATCACCAATCTTCAGATCTTGTTCTAACGTGCACCACTTGGGTCTCTGCTGTAATCTAGATAAATACTCACTGCTCCATTGATTCCAGAAATGTTGAAATAACCTTTGCACGTTCCTCCAACGGTCACTGCAGCTCATGGTTTCTTGAATTTGGTTAGATTCTGGAATAGCGCTTAAAGCCGCTCCGGTTAAAAGTGTCCTGGTGTTATCGCCTAGGTCGTTGCAATCACTTGAAGCTGGTACTAAAGGCCTAGAATTAAGACAGGATTCAATTTGGGTTATTAATGTCAAAAATTCCTCGTATGTTAAAATAAGTGTTCCTAAACATCTTTTTAAGTGATGTTTTATGGACTTGATACCCGCTTCCCAAAGCCTCCAAAATGAGGGGCAGAGGGAGGATTAAATAACCATTTAATATTTTTCTGAAGAAATATAACCCTGTAGCTGTTCATCACGTTGAACAATAGAAAAGGCTTTCCTTAATTCTTTATTAGCTCCTTATAAAAATTCGTTGCACAATCACTGTGAATTTCACACGGTTTGCCTCTACGAGCTATAAACCGCTTAAGTGTCGCGAGGAATGATTTTGTTGAAAGATCTCCAACTAATTCTAAATGTATTGCTCTTGTAGCAAAACAAATAAATAGACATACGTAACACTTAAAGATTTTGACTCCTCTACCAGAACGATATTTAACGTTAAATGGTCCTGCTAAATCAATCCCTACACGAGAAAAAGCTCTACTTTGAGTAACTCTTGAAGTGGGTAAATCTGCCATTAGCTGAGTTGCAGTTTGCGCTCTAACTCTACGGCAGATAACACATTGGTTTATACACTTCCTTATAATATCTCTAGCATTCACAATCCAAAATCTATGTCGTATGACAGAAGTGAGTAGCTGCATACCTGCATGAAGATACATGTCATGATAATGCTTAATAATTAAACGCGTAATATTGTGATTCTTAGGTAAAATCATAGGATGGTTTCTGATTATTTGAAACTGTAGAGTTTCTGAGCCTTCCGCTTCCGCCTACACGCATTACTCCCGCGGAATCCAAGAAAGGACTTAAAGATAGTAATTTACTTGATGTCTTCAAGGGTTTACCAGATTCTAAACAGAATAATTCTTCTGGAAATTCAGCTCTTTGCACAATCCTAACAATCATAGAAGTAACTTCACAGAATTCTTCAGTAGATAAATAACCCTTTATACGCTCTGTAGGTAACTTAATACAATTATTTCTGAATCTTAAACACCACGCTAACACTCGACATAACTTTAACCATGATGAAAATCTTGAAACACACTAGGCTCTTCAAATTTGGAAATATTTGAACTGAAACTCTTTTTTAATTCCTTCAACATAACCTCACCCTCTAATTCTACACTTGAATTTTACTGTACATGAATTACGGATTCGTTTAACCACTGCGGTCCCTTCATCCATAACTCACATTGTAGGAATTCTGATGGAATAAAACCTCTGGTCCCACAGTCAGCAGGATTTTCTTTCCCAGCAACATAATTCCATTGAATACCTGGAACAGCTTCCTGGATTTTTGCAACTCGATTTGCCACAAAAGGTAGCCAACGGCGAGGTTCGGACGAAACCCATGCCAATGTAACCCACGAGTCGGTCCATGCGTAAATATTGTTAATAAGCAGTTCTATGCATGATAATACTGCATGTAAGAGGTTGGTTAAAAGTAACGCAGCACACAACTCTAGTCTCGGAAGAGACTGGGTTTTTAAGGGCGCTACTCTGGTTTTCGATGTCAGAAGGCTGACTTTGACTGACGAATCAAGGTCGATTGTACGGAGATAGATGACTGCACAATAGGCCTTTTCTGAAGCGTCGCAGAAAGCATGGATATCTATCACTACTGCCTTCGGACTCAAGACATACCTCGGAAATTGTAAGCTTGAAAGTAAGGGCAATTCTAGATAGAAACGCTTCCATTTCCTACTTTACTACTTCTCTTATCAACGAGTCCATCCCAACCCAGCTGTAAGTTCCATAACTCTTGTAATAATATTTTCGCGTATATTATTGTTGGCGCTAACCATCCCATTGGATCAAAGATTTTGGCTACTTCTGATAAAATAGTCCTCTTAGTTAACTCTTTATCACTTATGCATACCGAAAAATGAAACGTATCACTAGAGTTGTTCCAATTAATTCCCAATACTTTTACTTTCTTGTCACTGTTTATTTCAAGAGAAATACTGGATTCTCGTAAGCACTCAGGAATATTCTCTAAAATAGCTGAACTGTTTGAAATCCACTTCCTTAAGCAAAATCCACCCCTTTTCATCATTTCATTCAACTGCTGAACTAGAACATTCGCTTCCTTTTCACTTTGTGCCCCTGAAAGCAAATCATCAACATAAAAATCACGAAGGGCAATTTTTGATGCTAAAGGAAATCTCACTTGTTCATCTAATGCAAGTTGTTTCATTACTCTAGTAGACAACTATGGCGCACAGGCAGTCCCATATGTAACTGTCACTAATCTAAATGTACTCAAGGGTTCACTAGGACTATCCCTCCAAAGCATTCGTTGCCAATTTGTATCTTCTGGGTGGACACGAATTTGTCTGAACATCTTCTCTACATCGGCACATACTGCAATTTTGTGAATTCTAAACCGTAGAAGAATTGGAAACAGCTCTTGCTGAACCCTTGGTCCAACCATCAAAATATCATTCAATGAAAGACCCGATGTCGTTTTAGCTGAAGCATCGAAAACAACTCTCAGTTTAGTCGTAATACTTGATTCCTTTAATACAGCATGATGAGGCATGTAATACGTAGAGTCAATAAAAATCTCTCCCTCAGGCACTCCCTCCATATGTCTCAGCTCAAGGTATTCCCTCATGAAATCCTTATACTGTTCATATATCTGAGGCCTTTTTAGAAGTGAATTTTCTAAAGATTGGAATCTACGCATAGCTAATTGTCAGGAATCTCCAAGCTGAGAAGGCGGAGAGTGAAACGGTAATTTCACAGTATATACCCCACTTTCCTCTCTCGTATATGTAGATTTGAAATAATCTTCACATGCTCTCTCCGATTTAGTAAGCATGTCAAACGTAGGTACAGCATCCAATTTCCAAAAGTCAGATGGCATCTGATCAGTTTCCACTTGTATATTATTAACATAGATAGTAGGATTAATTTCTGTTGAATTATTCACACTACCTGAAATAATCCATCCTAGTTCAGAACAAGAAGCTACTGGTTTACCTTCTTCGCATTTAATTATTTCTCCCTTTAAAAGAGGTAAGGCAATATTTACACCTAAAAGTATATCAACAGGCCCACTTTTGTAAAATGTTGGATCTGCTAACATTAAATCATTATATTCCTTAACGTACTTCTTATCCAATGTAAAATGCGGCAAAGTTCCAATAATTCTATTGATGATAAATACTGGTGTTTTAAATGACACTTTCGCCGGAAAATGCGGAACGAAGTTTATTTCCGTAATTCCATTAGTTTTCGTATCCAAAGACCCTAAACATGAAATAAAAACTTTGGCATTTCTACACAATCTTCTGAAATCAGGCTTGCTTGACTGCCAGGGTCAAGGAGGGCTTTACACAATTGGTATTCACCCGATGAATCTAACACTTTAATAACAGCCGTACATAATAAAACTTCACGCTGAAAGTTAAAGTCTGAAACACAAGATTTAATTACTGGACTAGAACTTGCGATATTCTCCCCTGACCCAGCCGATCGAGCGCGAGGTTCTGGCCCAGGCAAAAATGGCTTAGCCGTCACTGATAATTCATTCGAACTGTTCGTAACTCCTTTACGTGCCTTTGGTTCATTTTGAACTCTTTCGAAATGCAGTAGTGTGTGATGATTTTTAAAGCACTCTTTACATTTATGTGTACTTCTACACTCGAAAGCTTTATGATTTGCAACCAAACAATTAAAACAAACATTATTTCTCTTCACAAAATTAACGCGTTCCTGAACATTCAAATTTAAAAACTTATTACATTTAAAAACTGAATGACCGGCTTTACAATACGTACACTGCGCGCGAATCTCTGAAGCCAATGAAGTTAATTTGTCTTTTGTAACTTGTTTTTTAACACCTTGCGTTTTACCTGCTTGCAAGGTTCTGGCATGAGATTTCAAGAACTCTAGCAGATTATTAAGTGTTGGTATTTCCTCACTCTTTAATGTTCTTTCCCACCATCCTCTCGTCGAAGAAGAATACAATTTAAAACTGTACTATTAACATTAAAATAGTATCCGCGAATTGCTCCACTTTGAATCCTAGATTTTCAAACGAACATACACACTCTCTTACAGTGTCTACTAACGCTAATATCTGACTAGGAATTTTCAGATTGTAAATTTGATAAATACAAGATTTTCTTTAATAACGATGAAAGTAATTCTCTCTTATGTGAAAATCTTTGACACAATAAATGCCACGCTATTTCGAAATTCTGTCACAAATAGTTAAAGCTTTGAACAATCCGCAAAGCATCTCCTTTAAAGAACCCTTTAAATATTGTAGCTTTTGTGCACCTTATAAACGGTCATTATCCACTATCGCCGTTTTAAATAAATCAAAAAATGATAACCATTCTTCAGTACTGCTACTAAATACAGGAAGAGTTAGCTTAGGTAAGCGTATACTCGCTATTTCGCAAGATTTAGTTTCCACACTAATGTCTTTAACATTCTTAACTCTGGTTAGCATTAAAATTAACTCATCAACAGTATCTTGTATGACCTGTTGTTCTTCTATAAATACATCAATATCTTTTTCTTCACACACTACAAATATGTTACTAAAAATATCCGAAAGTTCGGTCATTAAATCATTTAATCTAGATTTAAAAAGTTCCAACTGATCAACATCAGCAGAATCGTAAGTCACTGTAATTTTCTCTTTCAGTTTACTTAACTTAGCTTTAGCAACACGCTTTTTAGTCTTAAGCGTTGTAAATTCCATTATCTAATAAGAAAGATAAAAAAACACACTGACTCACCAAATTTACTGCGACTCCAGCTCGACGGACCATAAAACATGTATGTTCCGTTGTTTAAAAATAGTGGACTGTAAATTGACTTGATATTACTTCAGTATAGAACCCAAAAAACCTCAGACTCATAATGTTGACCGAAACTTCTTTATTGACTTTCAAAGTAAGTTAGTTGAGGAACGGCGAAGACCACACAAACTCCGACTTCAGTGGCGGCTTACCAACACAAACTCAGAAGAACCTCTGCCTAGTTGAAACTCCAGTAATTCACAGCAACCTCAAAGCTCTAAACGCGAGCTTTAAAAACCTAACAAATTTGCATCTGCGCCGCTCCTCGGTACAAAGAAAGAAATACAATTTGCATAACATCGAACATATAGTTTCTATTAGTATAAATTTCTAAGGTTATGCATATATGTAACCTTATTATTGTTATTTAAGAAATCTTTGAGAAATTTGTATATAACCTGTAAGACATCTTATTTACTGCCTCTAGCATATACAGCTATAAGTTCTATGTCATTTTAAAAATATTTCGTTTTGATTGAAGTAGTGGTAAGATAAAATAATTTATGATTATATTAGCTGCATATTTTCTTGCAAGTTCAGTTTGCTTGTAAACTTTGCTTTTTACAAAAATAGCAAAGGTTACTTGTTCCTCCCCCCAGTTTAATTTTACATTTAAATGTAGTGCAAGTTCATAAGTGAATCTTAGTATGTTTTCCACAGTTTATATATTTGTATATCTTTCCCCTTCAGTCAATGCCTGAAATTAATTTCATTGACAGCAGATATTGTATACTTCTGGAGTACCAACTCGTAGAAAAATTACTTGAATTTGTAAGACAAAATGAAACTATGAATAAGAATGAAATGTGAATTAAATAAACATTAAATTTGTGAAATGAAGTTTACGGAAATAAACATGCGCTAATTGAGCATTTTTAGCTGTGAAAAAACTTAAATCTTCCCAGTGACCCAAGGATTAATTTTCTCTTTCGTTTCTTTACAACTTTTCTCTTTTCATTACCTCACCTAAAGATATTGATCAAGCTGATATTCTTTATTCTTGTCATTTTCATTATGCAGTCAGTGCGATCTTCCTGGCTGGTTACAGAGAAAGTTGAAGCCATCAAAGCTTGATAAACTATCTGGACTGTAGTTTATTTGTTGCAGTATTTATGTGTTGCCAGTGTATACTCCTGCAGTCATCAACTGACCTGGGCACTGGATACTTAATATGAAGTATTGCATGTTAAATATGTGTTATATATTCATGCATGCCACCATAGCATTTTATTTAACTTTTGTTAATAGACCGTGCATGGAGTTTAGGTACCATACCTTGATTGATAGTTTGCGATATTCATGCGTGTTAAAATTGTACTTGACATCTTTGTTCTATTTTCATAATGCATATCTAAATCATGCTTTGCATGCTTATTCAAGACATTGAAATCAGAACACTGTTTTCAAGGATTTTGAAAGGATTTGAAATTTATTTGTAACCTTGAAAAGTATGTAAATTTTCTTTCAGTCGTGAGGCCTGTCAACTCCGTAGTTTATTTGCTGTGCTGGTATTAACTTAAATTTTAAGGGGCTATAATGAGATGTATTAGTAAATGTATGCTTTCCATTGGTTCTGTTATTATTTTGTTTTTAAAATTGAGTTTATCTTTCCATTCATGGCATTCCAACAACATGCAGTAGAATTTAACATCAGCACTGCAGTTTGTCAGAAATCTCTTCCAGTAAATGTGTACCAGTACCAAATTTTGTTAAAAGTGTGTCAAAAGAATGTAGGGTGTTATTTTTACAACTCTTTCCTTTTCAGAGGTTAGGTTTTGGAATAGATTAGTTATTTTTATAAGGAGTAAATAAACATGTAATTTTTTAAAGCTCTTAGTGGATACAAATTTTTTTTTATATATATTTTCTCTTTCTGTTATTGTAAAAGAGAGTGACGAGCAGCATATATTGGTGTTATAATGATGAAAAAAATGCTGTGTGCTTTGCAATAGAGAAGTTTTTATCACCGAAAACCAATAAACGTTTCTTTGCTACAGTGAAAAAAAGACTTTATTATCCATATTACATCAACTTAAGTTTCAGTGTTGTAGCTGCTGAACGTTTTATAAGATTAGTCTTCCTGTCCATTACTTTAGCTGACATAATGACAAATAAATTTTGTGGAAATCATAGTAACAAAAGTTAGTTAATACCTAAGCAGGGAAAATACTTTGATTTTTAGGATAGCTGTGTAATATTAATTTCAGATCATCATATGAATCTGTTATGCATAATTTAATTAGTGTGTTCCCAATTTCCTGGTTTTATTAAATATACATTCATCTTTTTGTCTTTTGTTAGCATTTAAAAAGGTATGCTAATGCTTTCTAAAATACTTTAAAACTTTGTAGTTTATGAAGGCTTATTTTTTGCTAACAGATCATGTAAGAGCTGTACTTGATTAAATAAAACACATCACGTGCATTTTAAATTACGTTTTTTGAATCTTGTTTTCTCAAGCTGTTAGATTTGCTGACTATTTTATATATTGTTTATTGTAAGTATAATAATTCCATGGTTAATGCAGAGGCTATATTCTGAGAAAACAAAGTGATGAACAAACAGCATTGAGTGTGGTCATATCAGCAGGTATTGAGTAACCTTTGAAGCTTCTTAACTAGTAATGCTTTATTTTTTGCATTTAAACCCTGTAACATTATATTCATGCAAAAAATAAGACGATGCTTTTTTAACCCCTTCGCGCCGACTGTCACGTATACGTGCCAGCAACGAACACACTTATCTACCGGCCAACACGCAGGTATGCCAGAGCGTTGTTGCATTTTCTACCGACTGTCACGTATTTGTGCCAGTACATTGGAACGTTTTTCAAACTATAATTTCTGCCACAAGATGGCACTGTATGCCCATATGGTTTCAGATACATGTACATTAGACCCTCTACTCGAAATGAGAGAAGCATGACTCGCATACACGTGTTTTTGATTATATAAACAAACCGGGAACTAAATGTTTCCGAATGGCGTGATTTATGACGTCTCTTTAAATCGCACTTTATTCGCACGTGGTAGTTGTTTATTGTAAGTAGAAGTTTTATATGCGCTAAAGCATTGAGTATTTCGGTTTACAGTTCAGTTTTTAGAAAATAATTAGATCTTGTTAGACGTGAATTCTTTCTGTTTTGCCGTTTCAATGTCGAAGCGTCGAAAATGTTTAACAGAGCATGAAATAGCAGAAATGATGCAAAATATTTCAGATATTGATTCTGAAATTCTGATATTGATTCTGAAAGATTAACTGAAAGACATTTTCCAGAACTTTGTTCAGAAGAGACTGATAAGAAAATGAGACGACGATGCTTCGTTTGTTCACATTCCCGGAAAAATCCTCAAAAACGGCAAATGAGTTATTACGAGTTCAAGGAATGTAACGTAGGACTGTGTGTAGATCCCTGTTTTCAAATTTTTCATACGAAAAGAGAATTTTAAGTAATATATTTAGTTTTCAGATGTATAATGTTAAAAGTCATAAGATGGTGAGTAATTAAAATAAAATGTGTAAAATATGCATTTAAACAAGAAATAAGGTAATTAAAGCATATATATAAAAATATCTATAAAGCATAAGCCGTTTAAATACTGTATAGAGCATTATTAAACAATGCGTTAATACTTCGGAAATTTGATGGATTTAGGCTTAGTAGCAAAAAAGCCCCCTGCCCTGGAGAGACGCTCGCGGAAGACACTGCCGGCCTCTGCGATAAGCGCGCGTTTTCGCTACCCGGCTCGAAGGGGTTAAAGCTGAGAATGAAAGCCTCAAATCATTATCTTGTAGTACCATGCATGCATACATACACACATGCACACTGTCAATGTGCATTGTAACTAAAAATATAAAAATTGTAATCCTAAATTATGCTTTATTCATGTAAATGAAAATGAAGAAATATTTTATATCCATAACTGTTGTAGTATTAAATAACATATATATTAATGTTATAGGCTCCTATATGGACCAGTTATTTGTGAAGCAATCAAAGAAGCTTAAAATCAAGAATGTATCTCAGAGGGCTTCAACAACAGAACTTGGATATCAAGCTTTTTCACTACCAGGTTATTTTACTTTATTCAAGTTTTCTTAATTTTTATCCCACTCAGGGGCTCACCTTTGTGAGTATAGGTGTGGCAATCCTGAGGTACCCTAGCCCTTCGGTGGATAATCTTGGTGAGACGGGGGTCATGATCCTGGAGCCCCAGTGATCTGTCCTCTTTTCTGTCCCCTCCCCTGGAAATTTTGTCCTTCCCTTCTTTGTGGTTTTTCTCTTTGAAGAGTGGGGCTCGTCATGAGAAACTAGAACAGCCCTTGTCACTAGATGTTGAGTGGCGAGAAAAATGCCCATGTGTTTGCTGTGTATGGAGACTTGTGTCACTGGAAAGGAGGGTCCTGGTAGGTGAAGGACAAGGTGCTGTCCCCAACACATTGCTCTGTCTTGTGCTTTAACTAAATGGGAGGCACTTTGTTGTCTTCACGGATGGCAGTCGGCTGGTCACTAGTCCTTGTTCAGTGGCTTGGGGATAAGCTCTCAGGAGAACCTGCTTTCAGGAAAGCTGACTACGAGGCTTCAATTTCCATATACATCTGGCTAGCCCTAACACAGGATTCTGTGTTCCTTTGTTGGGCTCTGTGCTGGGCGGGGCGGTTGGACCCGAATCTTATTTCTCTTCAATATGGCAACTTCTAACATATTTTTAATTACACAACCTGAATCTAGTCGCATTGTTCCAAGTACTGATTGTTCTGAAAAGTCTTCCATTAAAAAGTACGTACCAATGCAAATGTGAATAATCCAAACAATCGTCCAAGCTTCCTTGTCATCTTTAGTCCTTCTGGCGAGTTGCAAAAGATGTCTCCTTTTGTAATCAATAAGTAGATTCATTCCTGTATTGGTGAGCCAAGAAATATAAAGCATGTTCTTTCTGGAGACTTGCTTATTAATAAAACTTCAGCCACCCTGTCTGCTTCCTTATTTCGAATAGCCAATCTCGGGCATGCTTGTGTCAGTCTAACAGCACATAAAACAGTGAATTAATGTCGTGGTGTAATATCGGAGGTCAACCTCCTGCGTGTTCCCGAAGAAAAGATAATATCCGGGCTGTCTGATCAAAATGTCTGCAGTGCAAAGTGGATCAAGTTGCATAAGGAAGGTCAGTTGATCAATACAAAATGTGATCCTGACCTTCAACTCACCTGATCTGCCTAAGAATATTAAGGCTGGGTATATAAATTTTCCTTGTAAGACCTTATAGTCCAAACCCTATGCTATGCTTCCAATGCTTCTTAAAGTGGCCAAAATTTTGGCCACTCTAAAGCTGCTATAACACATCCATTTGTTTTGCAAGAACAACTGTTTGGAACAATTTTCCTGCATTGTTACAACAGCCAGTCACCATAGATCACTTTGTGATTAACATGTAATGGGGAAACTGGTTCTCCATTACCAACAAGTTGATAGCTGAAGGGTTGAAAAGGAACAACTTGCATTTTTTTCCCAAAAGGAAGGAAAAGATCATGCTTTTTTCTTTCAGTAGTAAACTAGGCAGAAAAATTGTCTGAAACAGATGTTGGTATGAAAAAAAAAATGCATGTGTGATCCTAAGATATCCTGTCATGGCAGCCTCACATGCACCCGATGCTCAAAGATTGGCCATGATTGTGATAACTGCACTGCTGCACCATTGTGTATAAATTGCAAGGGTAAACACCCAGCATTTTTCACTCATGCCCAATATGGAAATCAGAAAAGGAAGTGCAGACTACGAAAGATATTAGAAACATCTCATGTGACAAAGCCAGAAGGCTAGTTCAAAGCACACAGGTTCGTCCTAATATATCTTACGTGAATGCTGTTAAAACAACTCTTACTATTGCAACCCAAACTTCAAAAAGTATGCAGACTCCACCAGGTAAACCGCAGCAGATTACAAGCAGCAAGAAAAAAATCCAGCACATGTGATGCAAAAAAGAAAAAAGAAATAGCAATTCAAAGCAAACCAAAAAATATCCTTCCAAGAACAGTTCAAAAAAATAGAAGCAATAGCTCTCTCGAAGACATGGTGCCTGAATCTTTAGATTCGAATAGTATGGAAGTAGAGGACGATCTGGAAGTCCCCAAGCACCTGCTTCTGCACAAAACTAAGAAACAGCACAGAAAGAACAATCACCAGTAATAATAGCCACCCTTGTATCTTGGAATTGTCACGGCTTCCACCAAAATCATGTTAACATCAAACATTTGATCCATATATGTCAAGCAGTGTGCTTGGCGATTCAGGAATTTATGCTAAAACTGGAACAAGTAGCAAAGGTTCAGGGATATTCTTTCGCTAGGAAAGATAACTTGGGAGGTGAGCGGGTCAGTGGAGGGGCAAGTCTTCTTATCTCACTTGATTTTTTTTCCAGTCTGACTTCTTTAATGACAGACCTCCAAGCTGTCGCTACCCAAATAAATATACGGAATTTGGTTTCAGTTTGTTCCCTTTATTTGTGTCCAAATCACCACATCGATCAGCAAGATTTGGATAAACTAGAGCAGCTGCATGAAACTTTATCATAGTACGGGATTTTCATGGCCATAGCCTGCTCTGGGGAAGTAAGGATAGAGCCCCCCCCCCCGGAGGCAGACTAATTGAACTAATGATCGAGGATCATGGCCTTTGCCTCTGCAATGGTGGACAAGACACATACTTCCATGAGCCTACAAGGAAATTTCACACTTTAAATCCAGCCATCTGTTCACCATCTCTTTTACCATTTTGTACATTTAATGTTGGAAATGATCCTTCCAACAGTGATCATTTTCCCATTTTTATGTCTATCAACGAAGAGGCATAAACACCATGTCAGGTCCCCTCATTTTATACTAAACGGCATACTGGGAACTCCTCTCGTCTTTAGCAGAGATGACAAAAGAGATGTTAAAAGATGCACCTATCGATGATGCTGTGATGTCTTCATTCGTGCAGCTATGGTCTATTCCGGTGATATCAACGAAACTTCCAAAGAAGCACTGGCAAAACAGAGAAAAGCTTGGGGAATTTTTCCAAAGCAACCCCACCTTTTCAAAACTTATGATCTTTAAAAAAGCTAAAGCAAACACGAGGAAAGTAAGGCGTAAGAGCCAGAGGGATTCCTGGGTAGCCCTATGTGTCTGGAATTACATCATCTATGACAAGTAAATGAGTATGGGGAAACAGTTAAGAAAGCATGCGGAATGTACAAAGACCAACTACTTTCCTTTCTGGAAAAAGGTGGCCGAGTGATTAGCGAACCAGAAGAAATTGCAAATACAATTGGTGTGACCATTGCTGCCATTTTTAGTGCCAGCAATTGCCCACTAGCATTTCTTTCTGAAAAGCATCGTCTTGCAAGTAATCCCATTGCTTTCAACTGTTCCAACCTAAAACCTTATAATGGCAACTTTACTATGCTTAAGTTAAAGAAAGCATTGATGGAGACACATAAGGTCGAGTCTGGGTCTAGATGGAATAAGTTATGAAATTCTAAAGCTCCTCTTCAGTAAGTCGTTGACTGTCCCTTTTTGTTCTATACAATTGAGTGTGGAAGGAGCATATCTTTCCTCACTGGTGGAAAAAAGCAATTATTATCCCCATAGCTAAACCAGGAAAAGACCCAAAGAATCTTTCAAACTATTAGCAATTTTTGTTATGAGTTGCATTTGCAAATTATTTGAAAAAAAAATGGTAAACCACCACCTAGTCTTGTTTAGGGGAAAAACAATGTAATCTCACTGTGGTTTTCATAAAGCCAGGGTGAAAATCAGCTGATCATGTAGGAGCATTGCTCGTAATAAGAGACCATACTGACAGCAAAAGATTTCCTGATGCCTGTTCTGTACTTAGCGTAAATTGACAGCTCTGAATTCTGCTTTAACATTTAACTCTAAGCAATTCCATAAAAAATTTATAATATTCTTCGATTCATGAAGTGCTCTAAAAGCATTAGCTAGTTTTTTTGAAACCCGGAATACTCTACTAGTGGACATTTTTAAGATTACATCAGAAATTCAGAAGCTGTGGCTATAGGATCCTTTACTGCTGGTTTCCTGGCCATGTTGGTATAAAAGGAAATGAGCTGGCTGACATAACATCTAAGTCTGCTACTGTTTTATCAAACTAGCTTCTGCCCTACACTGATATAAAAATGGTCATCAAGCAGAGAATTTTAAATAAATGGCAGTCATTTTGGGATATCTAGATTCTGAATAAATTGAGAAGCATCGAATGTAAAGTAGAGGACAGGAAGACCACCAAGAATCGGAGAGAGGGAGGGAAGTCTTATTAACAAAATATAAGGACTAGTCACTCAAAACGCACACAGTTACCTTTTAAAGGCTGAGAGTGAACCTATTTGTTCAAATTGTAACAGTATTCTGTCTGTGTGTCATTTTAAAATTTAATGTTCTCATTTTAACAGTCTTCGATTGAAGTATTTTAGCCACTATAACTTGCCTCTTGACCGTATTATCGGGAAAGAGGTAAACGACAGTTTGTTTGAATACCTGAAAGCAACAGGTTTTTATTATTTGATTTCTTTTTTAATGTTACTTGGGATTTTAATGCTATATATTTTCATATGTCATACTTTTTAATCATGTTTCATAATTGAAAGCTTAGGAGTTTTACATATTAAGTTATTACAGAACTCAAAATTTTTTCCTTATTATTCAGTTGTATAAGTGTCCTCTTGTTTTAAACTTGTTTGTATATTGTGCTTGTCATGTTTAATCGATATGTTTTTGGCTCATATAACCTTAAAGGTTTTGCACCAGGAAATCCATTACCAAACAAATGATTTTATTTTTTATCTGCTATTTTTCCTGAAGTAGCCCAAATGTCAGTCATATTGTGTATAAAAATTTTTAGCTTATACATGTCAGTATCAATTAATTCTTAACTTCCATGCCAAATATAAATAATTTATCTTTTGTGATGTTATTAATTAAGCAGGTATCCACTTTTTGGATATTTTAAATGTAATACTAGTGTCTTGTGATATAGTTAAACCTGTTTAATACATTTTCAGAAGCACAGCC